CCTGACGATGTCACATACTCAGCTATAATAGATGCCTATGGACGGGCTGGTAATGTTGATATGGCTTTGAGCCTATATGATCGTGCCAGAACAGAGAAGTGGCGCATTGATACAGTAACATTCTCGACATTGATTAAGATGTATGGGATATCGGGAAATTATGATGGATGCTTAAATGTCTATGAAGAGATGAAGGCTCTTGGTGCTAAGCTTAACATGGTCGTATATAACACTCTGTTGGATGCCATGGGGAGAGCTAAGAGGCCCTGGCAGGCCAAGAATATATATAGGGAGATGATTAATAATGGGTTTACGCCCAATTTTGCGACCTATGCATCTCTTTTACGAGCCTACTGTAGGTCGCGATACAGTGAAGATGCTCTCAATGTTTATAAGGAAATGAAGGCAAATGGAATGGAATTGAATATGGTTCTCTATAACACCCTTTTAGCTATGTGTGCTGATGTTGGCTGTGCAGAAGAAGCAGTTGAAATTTTTGAAGACATGAAAAATTCAGGAACTTGTAAGCCTGACAGTTGGACATTTTCATCTTTGATTACCATATATTCTTGCAGCGGCCAAGTAGTTGAGGCAGAAGCGATGCTGAATGAAATGATAGAATCTGGATTTGAGCCTAATATATTTGTTTTGACATCACTCGTGCAGTGCTATGGAAAAGCCAAGCGTACTGATGATGTTGTGAAGACTTTCTATCGGCTCTTGGATTTGGGGATTGTTCCAGATGATCGCTTTTGTGGTTGTCTTCTGAATGTTATGACCCTAGTACCAAAAGAAGAACTTGGTAAGCTTACTGATTGTGTTGACAAGGCTAATCCAAAGCTTGGGTCTGTGGTAAGATATTTGGTGGAAGACCCCGAGGATGACGAAAACTTTAGAAAGGAAGCATCAGAACTATTTGATTCAATTGATGCTGAAGTAAAGAAGGCCTTTTGCAACTGTCTAATTGATCTCTGTGTTAACTTGAATAAGTTGGAGAGGGCATCTGAGCTACTGGATATGGGCCTGTCACTTCAAATATATACAGATATACAGTCCAGGTCTCAAACTCAATGGGCTTTGCATTTAAAGAGTCTCTCTCTTGGAGCTGCTTTTACTGCATTACATGTTTGGATAAATGACCTGTCCAAGACTTTGGAATCAGGAGAGGACCTTCCGCCACTGCTTGGAATTAACACTGGACATGGAAAACACAAGTATTCAGACAAAGGTTTGGCAAGTGTGCTTGAATCACATTTGAAAGAAATGGGTGCTCCCTTCCACGAGGCCCCAGATCAGGCTGGCTGGTTTTTGACTACACAGGTGGCAGCAAAGTCATGGCTGGAGTCCAGGAAGTCACCTGAATTAATTGCTGCATAATTCTTGGAACTCCATGGTTTTAGGTGTTTTCAGAAAGGCTCTTCATTGAAAACGTTTTTGATGCACTGCCTAGTTTCTACACGTTTTCCCTTGCCTTGCGCGGAAATTTTGTACTAATGAATTTGGAATATAATATGTTTAATTCAGATATCTTATAGAGTAATTGAAGACCTGTCACTAATATGTTAGTATGGAATATATAGTGGTTGGATTTCCGTTTAGCTGCTTATTGATGTAGGAAGCTTTATCTTCCAATTATATTATGCTCGACTTAACTCTTGCTTAGCACTCATTCATGAGATATCACGCGAAGGACATCAAGGGTGCTCCGAACTCAACCATAGTTTAATACGCGAAGGGATACAACATTAACCTACTAATTCCATCGTGCATAATACGCGGGGATTTATACCAACGGCTGCATCAACTTGAACTGTTGTTGGCCTAATGGCTTAGGGTGTTGAGTGTAGAAATTGAAGCCTTATTTGCCTACCACTCCAGAAGAGCACCGCATATTCAGAACGTTCTTATAAGCAATTGCGTAAGAAATTTGTGTATGGTAATTGTAAAATTTTGATGGTCACCCAAATGAGGTAGGAAATTCTTTTCCAGAATCTATCTATCGAGGTGGAAGGATTAACCCATTTAAGTATCCCATAGAACATATCATAGTGCTAAATGTAAAATTAAGGCATCTCAAATATCCATGCTACCTTGATCTCCATCAAATTTACTCAAAAGCTGCGAGGATACAAGTATTCTGGAGATCAGGTGCGTTTGCCTCTATGAATCATTAAAATGCAATGGCAATAGTAAGAAAATCAATTCCAACGTACATTTTCTTCTGATTCCTTCAGTTTCAAGATTTTTTCATTCAATGTAGGAGTAATAAATTCCGGTTGTTATTTATATCCTTGGACGAACCATTGAGAAGATCATTCTTGTGAGTTTCAATTTTTTGCGTGATGTTAATAACGTAAATTATTCTATCACAGCTTACAAGATGGCATAGGATCTGTTTTAGCTGAGTTGTTTTCAGAGTATATGCATCTGAGTTGCTTAATCCGTGATTACCCCTGATCAATGTCCTTAATGCTTAACACACGTAAACATCAGTTCATGTCACAAAGAAGCTTGAAGATATTCTTTCAAGGCAAATCTCAAAAACCATCCAGAATTTATTTTTCCATAGCCATCTTTGGGAGATTCTCCTTTTCACTTTATCGCATACAATCAACCATGCCCACCTACTGTTTTCCAAGTATTCTTCGTGATTCATGTTCCTACTGATGCATGCTTCTTTACCATTACTGATCTTTTGACAGTTTTGACCATTGTATAAAAACACAAAACATTAGTCTGTCATTTATCCAAATGTATAGGAAGACATTGGACACTGCTGCATGTACAGGTCAGATTCCCAAAGTCACTTGTGGAAATTTATTTCAACAAATCACATCCCCGAGTACTCTTTTGTATTTACATGTAAAAATCACAATACTTCATTTATATGTACTTTTCCTTCAATATTGTCCACATAAATAATCTTCAACGTTCTTTCATCACCCTGCAGCAACAGTATAAGATCCAATGTTAGACTTGAGTGAAAATCTTAAATAGATAAAAGCCAATTTCAAAAGTAATTTTACTTAAACCTTTTTGAGGAGATTGTGCTTCTGTTTTTCCTATTATTATCTGATTTTGCTAATGCAGCTTCCTTTTCTCTGGCAGCTGCTTCTCGTTTCATTTTCTTCCACTCTACTTCCATTGCCTTTGTCAGTGCATCAACTTTCTTTGTGAGCATCTGAAAAACAATATTTTATGCCTTTAAGGTCTACTTAAGAAGAGAGGGTAAAGAAGCTGGGTGTGCGCGTGCGTGTGTGCGTGCATGTTGGGCGAGTGGATAGCTGTTAAAACTACCTTTATTTCATCATTTTTGGCTTGCAGACTACTGTCTTTAGTTTCACAATACTTCCTCAAATTGATGACCTCTTTCTGAAGCCTATCATATAGAAAACCTGAGACCACATCGTTGCTGCCCAAATCATTACTATTCTTGCCATTGGACTCTTCATCCATGTTGATGCTTGATTCATTTTTAGCTGCTTCTTTTTCATCAGTGAACCTATTTAAATTTTCGTGTGTGTTCACCTGAACCATATTTTCTTTTTCACCACTATCGGCTACTTTACTTCTTGATGCCCAGATACCTTTCTTCAACACATTTTCTGCTAGGTCTCCAGCAGCAATATCCGTTGTTTTTTTATCATTTGGCTTCTGGAAGAAAGAACTTCCTATGGTAGCTGCTCTTGGTTGTGATGTAGACCTCTTTCTTATTCCACCATTGTTTGTCAGGAAACCCAAGATGTTAGGCTTTTCTGTTTTCGGATACCCAGAAGTTGCATTGGAATTAGAGGGGTTACTTGAGAAATGCTTTAAGCCTTCTTCCAGAGTTTTTAACCTTAGCTTTAGTTTATCCTGAAGAAAAAACACTACGTTAGGTATAACCGAAAAGATGTGCTAAATGTCCATATAGAAGACCGTTAAATACCTTCAGTTGTGCTTCTGCCTTGGCTGTTCTATCTGATATTGCTAGCTTATCTTTCAATCGTTGTATCTCTGCCTGCATACACAAGCATGCATATTTGATCTTGGTGATTATTACTTGATCTGAGTTTATTATCTTAAAGGAGAGAAGCCTATTCATTTTTCTGCGAAATTAATTTGTACTGCTAAGGTTCTGTTGATTAAATTCCGCTTTTATATAATTTGATTTTAGAACTATCAGCATCAGTGCTATATGACTGATGAAAACTACTCCCTCCATTCTTTTGTAAGACGAAATTACCTACCTGACACAAACCAAGAAAGCAGTTAAAATTAGTTTATCTTTGAAAATTTGTTCCATCTTTCCATTGATGCCCTTAATGAATACCCTTCGACTTTTTGTGCATGGGAAAGGATGCTCAATTATTTATCAGGTCGGCTGAGTCTTTTTTTCAATCATTGTTTGGGGCAGTTTTGAAAAAGATATTAATGACTCTTATAATTTTGTAAAATGTCTTATAACAAGAAAAACCACAACTTTTAAAATTGCCTTATCATTAGGAATAGACAAGGTAGGATTTTGAGCGAAAAATAAACCTGCATAATCCTCCTTTCTTCCAGCCACTGTTTGACAGGCATGACTTTGTCTTTTTCATCCTTCCACTCATTAGCCACGACAGTTGCAACTCTGTTGGCTGAGACTTTTACTCTTGCTAGCTCCCTTTCTAGTATCCTCTTCTCCTCCTGAAAGTTTAAGCTAACCCGGTTACCAAAAAGATAAACTAGCAAGTCATAATCTCAGCAACCAAGCTCAGAATTTCAGTATCTATGGGATATGCCTACTTGCAATTCAGAAATCTGTCGTTGATAATCACGAATAGTATTTGCAGTAGCTCCACTTGATAGGATGACCTCCTCAAGTTCTTGAATAGTTTGACCAAGCTTCTCCACTTCCAAAACCTTTTGGCGATGGGTTTTCTCTAGGATTTTATTCTCCTCCTGTATATTTGGTAGTTGTAAATTGATTGAACCACTGATGAATTCAGCACTGAAACCAAATATGTAAAAGGAAGAACAGAAAATCATGCCTGGCAGATCTCAATCTGTCTCTTCAAGTCAAAGTTCTGATTTTGAACTTCCTCCACTATTAAGGCCCTTTCTAATGCACTCCGCAGGATCCTCTCTGCTTCAAGCAACGCTGATTCTTTTGACCTTGTAAGTCGCTCCAAAGCTTTCTTATCCTCTTGTAATGCTGAAATCTAAAGCCAAGACAGAGGCTAGTACTGTCAGTATCTGCAATTTACTCATGCTATTATATATGTTTTTCAAGTTATCGTTGCTGAAAATTTCGTTAGGTGTACCTCATTCTTATACATTTTAATCTCAGCTTCAAGAGGAGCAATGATGCTCTCAAATGGAACGGAATCATCATCCTGTTGATCTTCATGTAACCTTCTAAGAGCTGCTTCTGCAGCATATTGTGCAGCCTGTGCATCTTTCTTTTCATTGGCCAGTTTCTTGATTTCAAGATTCTGTAAATGACCATATTTTGAAAAGATGCATGTTAGAGTCCACCAGTGTTGGTCATTCTTCCAATATTTATTATTAGTTCAATTACATACCTTGTGTTCAATGATATCCTCGGTAATCCGGAGCTTTTCATCCAGTTTATTTACTTGGGTTCTCAGCTGAAATTGGAATAAAAAGATTCACAAGAGATATTAGTAATAATACAAAGAAATCTATACATCTTCTTCTCTTCCAAACAAGCGTGCTGGAAACTGTGGCACGCTCTTCTCGCAGAACATGCATGAAACTTTGGTATATCATGCATCGAGCTGCTTTGGATCAAATCATATGGGGTGTTGTGTGAGATATGGAGATTGTGGATAAACTAGCTTGAAAGATATACCTCCCCTATAGCCTTATCTTTCAGAGCCTCAGTTGACCTCAAGGCCTTGATTTCACCCTGGCATGTGGTTAGGTCCTTAACTTTGTCTGCAGAAATGAAGTCAAAATTTAGCATCACATAGACAACTGACTTGGAAATAGTACCAAAGATCATTTTTATACAGTACTCATCTTTTCCATTGTCATTCCCTCACTTGATGGTATATGCAATCGGTGGAACAGAAAGTATTTGAAAATTATGAAACTCAGAAGAAACTAGTGGTAGGGTCAGGTTTTAGATGACCAGATGTATTGTATACTATTTATCTTGATACTAACAAATGTAATGTAATGTCACACACAAACATTTTCTGAAGTTCCTTTCATCTAAACACCATTTGTGTTTCATTTACGTTCAGGAACCTGATCAAGACTCTGGAAAACCAGAAGTGAGAGAAAAATAATGCAGAAAAGAGAGAAGAACAAGACAGAGAGATGTGAACCTTTGAGCTGGTTTTGCAAACGATCAATTTGCAGCACAGTTGGGTCTGCATGAACAAGAGGAAGCTCCTCTCCAACATGTTCTTCGTAGCTTACCATGTTGCTTTCTTTGAAACTGAGAAATGCACAGACAGCTTCGTACAATTCAACAACTGGAGCCTGTTGGGTTATATAGAGTAGTAGTAGTATTTGTTTTGGTTTGGTTATTGGTGGTGGAAAAAAAAAGACAAAACTGCTGAGTCCAAAATCACCAACAACAACAAATGGAGGAAGCTGGGTGGGTAAATTAAATTAATCAGTATGATACAAGTTTCTGTTCAAGATGATGTGTAAACTCATTCGTATAAAGAATTGACAGTAATGAAACGACCTTCCCCTATATTGAAGCAACCATGACTAGGCTTCAAGGAAGATGTAAAAAATGCAGAAATATTAATTATTTTGGGACTGAGCAAAAAATATATATATTGTTATCCAACTGTTGGGAGTTTTGTCACAACCTATGTGATGAAAATGACTGAGGGTAGGTTCTCTTTTACAAATTTCTGGAGTTGTTTTTGTTACCAGTTTTTTTTAAAAGAAAAAAAATGAAATTGTCATAATCTGTCTATATCAATGGAAACAAAAAACAGCATAGAATTGTTTGCTTAAGCGCTAAAATAGTGCTTATATCATTCCCTTCTCTAAAGTCAGTCACTCCAAGATTGTAGTTTTAACTAAGAAAAGAGAAATGAAGCAGTCATGACTCTACTTTGAAAGCAATGAACTAAAGTGGCTTCAAAGAACAAATTTATATATTTTCACATTTATACCACCCAACTTGTCAATTAATGCCATCTTTGCTTAAAAGTCTAATTTTGAAGAAAATTTTAAAACTAGCTTCTCTCTCTGTTCCCACCCCCCCCCCCCAAATCAAGCACTTTGCTACTAATGGTTAACACTTAGCCTGCACATTTGCAGGTTTGACATGGCGACGAGGGAAGATTTTAATTTCACCAACAACTGCTACTACTACTCACTTCAAGGCAAAATAGATAAAATAAGTAATAAATTAATATCAATATAATCAAAACAGTTCAATTGGATTTTGGGGATACGAGTATAAATAATTTCTCTGTTGAATTCTGCGATTGTTAACTCCGGTTTGATGGTGATGTGGATGAAAGTGAGGTGCAGCTAAGCCTTAATTATTTTAATTAGTTTGAGTTAGGTAAATTGAGAAAGCTTTTTGTAAATTAAGAAGTAGTAATTTAACAAGTAATTTAGGATAAAATATTTATCAGTAAAGGGTACACCTAAAATGTTCTGCTACATGTTCTTTAGAAAGGAGCAGGGTACCATTTTGGACTAGGCATACCTGAAAACTGAAATATGAATTTTGTAGTTCGCTAGCTACTCAGTCTGAATCAAAATCAACCTAACTATTTTTTTGTTCATTTGATAGTTTATATATATATATATATTTCTTGATTTTTTTCATTGAAATATAAATGTTTTATGGCTTGATGATCTAGTCAATTGTATAATCAATACACTTTTTTTTAATTAAGAGTGTGATAAATAGTCAACTGAGGAACTGATGATTTCTGATTGTGTAATATTGATGAACTAGAGAAACTAATCCTTAACATATTGTGTTCTAGTATTAGATAGATAGAAATCATAGGATTATTTGAAGATGATTAGCAAAAAGCATCTACCTATAATGATAGTTCCATTGAAAGCGATTGGATCATTCCCTCTCCCTCTCTCTCCCTCTCTCTCTCTCGAATAATTGAATTACTTTTAGTTAATATTTATATATTGATGGTAGATATAAGTCATGATCAATTGTTTAAATCACATACATATGTTTCATAAACTGTTGATTCTTTCAGCCAGTTATAGATTGGTGAATGAAATAAAAATAGAAGAGAACAAAATGGTTCATATCAGAAATTAAGTGGTATAGATTAATACAGATAATATAATCATTCTTACCATAGTAATATTCATGTGAAAATATATAAATGTTCTGTTTTAAATTTATTGAAAAAATCGTCATATTTTTTTTTTCATATATCATAATTTTATTCAAAAAAAGAAAGTAATAAAACATTAAAGAGGAGCATTGAACTTAAATATTTTGATTCAAGCTGTCTCATCGGCCACGAACATTTAATCAAGTTATCTTGCCTTGTTTTATAAAAAAAAAAAAAAAAGTGCTTCTATTTAAAATTGGGCTTCAATTGCCTCTTTTACGGGCCCAATAGTAAGGACTTTAACACATATGGCCCATTCTTATTTCTCAAGCAAAGCAACTCTTGAATACTCTCTAATAAGCATCCTTAAAGTAGAAGGCTTTTGGGGGACTTCAACAACAAAATCTGAAGCCCACAGGAAGCTTTTGTTCTTTAATTATTGCTTATATTCAACTAGAAAAGAAATATTGAAAAAAAAAAGAATTTTAAGAGATAATCTTTTTCCAAATTCATTATGTTGGATAAGAATTTTAAAAGATAATACTAAGTATAAACAAAATAAAAGGATAGATAAAAACAAGGAAAAATCACACTCTGGCTCCAAGTAAGAAAATTAAATAGGAAAAGATTCCCCAAAAAAAATCATATTTACAAGTTAAACTTAAAAATATATTAAATTCTTTGATATATTTAGTGAGTATTTAAATTTTCCTAAACATTATCCTCATGCCTATATCATTAAAAATATTAAAACTAAATAATAATATATTTCGACATCAAAGCTTAACTGATTGCCTCCCGCTTTATAATGAAGATTACATCTTACCTCAATGTGAGTGAGTGATAGATGCCATCTTCTTAATGAGATTGAAGCTTACTTCTTACCTCAAAGAGCCACTACCACACAACAGATTTTATCTAATGGATCCTCTAAAGTGTGTTTGCTTTTCAGGTTGCGAAATTAGGCATATTCTAGAAAGAGTGGAGTGGTTTTAGTAGTTAAAAAAAAAACAGAATAAACGGGAAAATATCTCTTATTGGAGACTTTTAGAACTTCAAAAGATGTACAAATTACAATTTATTTGATCCTATAAAAAGATTAATAAAATAGAGTTTATTAACACATTTTAGATTGATAAATTCCTATTTTAATATATTATTTGATATCTTTTTGGGATATTTGTTAACTAAAGTGGGATAATTTGTATTGATTGTGGATATTTTGAATTAACTACTGATTGCATGAAATTAGAAATTAAAAAAAAATCTTATCATATTTTTATCTCATTTTAAATACTAATTCTATTATGTTGGCAGCAGTGTGTATGGTTGTGGAGAGGATATGAAAATTATTATATGCGCAGCTGGCGAACTGATACTGCGGCCTGGGTCTCTATGCGTGAAGGAGAGGGTATATGTGAGTGTTCTCTCCCTAGCCCTCAATCAATAATCAATAAATATGCAAATAAAATCTGATGTCTTGATGTCCAAGTTGGTTATCGATAGAGAAGTAGTTTAAGCTTGGAGTTTTAACTAGAAAAGTATTTAGTTTTTCAATTAATTTTTTCTTGGACTTTATTAGATTTTTCTTGCATTAGGATTTTTCTTATTTATTTTAGAGACTGAAATCATGCGTTATAATTTCTGTTAATTGGATTTCTGCAGTTTAATTTGAGTTGTATTACTTGGGATTTGAATTTTTATATAATTCTTTTGCATTCATTAAGATTGTTTTATCTAGTGTGCTGTTAGATTTTATGATTGAGATGTATTGCAATTGAGTGACTCCGTGAGTATTCTTTGAGAAGAAAACAAGTTTTATTAACTCAATTTAAATTGCACATCAGGTGATTTTCAAAGGTATCTTAATAATTTGATTACTACCTAGCGTTTAGAGTAGTCAAGTATTAAGTTTACTTGATCCAAACCGTGTTTGGGATTGCTTTCTAACTTGATGCATTATTTTACTCTTATATTTTTATTAAGCAAGGATAGCTACATTCCATTTCAAGAAGCATTCTCATTACTATTTTCTAAAACCCAAATTTTCATTTTTCATTCTCTTTTCATTAAAAATACAAAACAGCAGTTTATGATTATTTCTTTATTTTCATAATTAGTTTTATTAAAAAAATCCTTTTTAATCCTTCTTTTTTAATTCTTTTGTCACTTAGTTAACTTAATAATTAATAAAAATCTCCTTAAGAGACACGACCCGAGTTGTGTTTTACTGCATAATTTAGTTTTATTTTTTATTTAACGTAAGACGACTAAAAATGTTTAAATCATAGACTCTTTCAATACTATTTGTCAAGGCATTATCTTTCATAATACTACCTTCGGTCCTAATTATAAGAATCAGTTGACTAATTTAAAGAGATTAAAGAAATAAGTTAAGTTAGTTATTTGTAATAAATAGATTTTTTTTTTCAAAATATCCTTAATAATCAAGTGCATTGGCTAGAACTACTATTATTAGAAGGGCTACTTTGAGAAAAAATGTATAAATATAGGAGGCAAAATAGATTGGGATCTTATATTTAGGATCAAAATAAAAATCAAAGGAGATCTTATATTAAGGACAGGAGGTAGTACTTATCCAATGTTATGATGGACATGAGAACTTATTATGAGATACTAAAAATATATATAATTAATAAAAAGTCCTTACAAGTTAACAATATGGATTTATTCTCATTTTTTGCTTTGGAATTTATCATTACATAGTGCTTACTTATTATAAGACTTTTCAATGATTACATTCCTTCTTTAAAATGTCATAATAATAGCAATGCACATTAAAAAAAAAGAAAGAAAGAAAAGAAAAGAGACACCATTAAAAGACTAAACACCGAATTATAAAAAAGATGGGGACCCACTCACATAAACATAAAATCACGATACCATGGATTATATGAATTAACCCAAGAAGTTTATGAATCTCCCAAAAAGAGAGAGGGGGAAAAAAAAAAAAAGGACTGAACTTATCTGATCACTGCTTGTTTGCTGAGAAATTAATACTCCCCCAATCCTTAATATAAGACCCATTTAACTAATTTGATTAGATTAAGGAAGTTAGGTAAGTTAGTTAAAAGTGACACATTTTTCCTAAAACACCATAATCATCTTTCTTAATACCCCATCTTTCTCTTCTACTTGATTATGGTTGAGGAAATATCCATAAGGGTAATTTAGAGAAAATTGATAAATATGATAAATGGGTTTTATATTTAGGACCAAAACTAAGTCAAAAATTAGGTCTTATATTAAGAACCGGAGGAGTATTAGGAAAAGTTGGGAATATGAAGAAACCTTAAACTAAAAACCAAAAGAATAATAATAACAAAACTTGTGGCCGCGTTAGCCCACAAACCTTGTGTTTGATTAATTTAATAATAATTTAGAGTGGGTTGATAATCCTCCATTATGGAAAAGCAAGAATGAGAAGCAATGCCTTTCCTCAGCGGTTCATTCAATTTTGTTGAGAATTGGAAAAAGAGGGAATACTGCCAACCGACCACTGAAGGAAGCTGCCAAAGAATCTATTCCTTTGCCATTTCCCAATCTCCCATCCACCACCTCTCCTAATTATCATTTTGCCCCTCTCTCGTCTCCGGCTAATTTATTAATGGTCCTCCTAATGATCATTATTGCCACTTGGCGCCCTTCCTTATCTCTTCTCCCTAATAAAGCTACACTTATCTCCTATGTTTGATCTTGACATGCACAAAGCAATTATATTACACTTTTTTCTTTCTTAGAAACTATAATATAATTCCTAAAAATTACAAACATATGGAAAAGATCTTGTTTAACTATTTAATAAAAAATATTCATATAGATAGTTTAATTATTACAATATTTACATATGACATGAATCTTTTTTCGCCAACATATGACATGAATCTTATTTCTTACTTTTCTCAATATATAATAATGGTTATATCAATCCTTTAACAAGATATATTAGTATGAATGTATGATATATTTTCGTACCTTATCTTTGGGGGACTTGTTTAACCAGTGGAATTGAAGTCATGGAAGGATAATTTGGGAAATTTTGTAGAATTTTACACACCAAGTGGCATGTGGGCTAAGTAAGCTTTATAAAAATCATTTGAAACATCATTTCCCATACAGAATCTTTCAGATATATATAATACTATCCAACAGGAAACCTCCTTCTACACAATAACTCTCTCTCTGATCTCTTTCTCTTTCTCTCTCTCGTCACTTCTTCCTCCTTTTCTCATTGAAGCTAGATGCCGTTATCCATGGATGTTCCAGAAAAGCTTCTTCAATACAGATACTACATCATCATAGCACTAGCAGTATCAATATCCTTCTCCTTGCTTCTATATGCAGCACCGAGATTGCTGACCATTTTGGCTTACTTTTGGCCTCTCTTTGCTTCCACCACTGTGTTCCTGATCGCCATAATAGCTTTTGGAGGCGTTTCAAAGTTCTCTTCTGAATCTCATGGTGAAAAAGCTGGAGAAGGGTTCTTAGATTACGTAGCAGGAAGAACGGAACATTATCCTGAGGAGCTTCGAGCTAATTCAGATTGATCCGATTAAGGTCGTTGTTGTTCCACGTACGTCTCTTAAGTTCAGGTTATTGTTGTATCAGTATAAATCTCTTATGTGTAAACTGTAAAGTGATCCGTGTGATAGAGACATGAAGCTATTATGGAAATAAGAAAAGCCTGAAAAGTTTCTGGAAATGATGATGATGCCGATGATGACTGATCAAGATTTGAGCTTTATCTGTTCATATGTATTGTTCTTTCATGTGAATTGCTTTGGCTGAAACGTAAAGGATTCTGAATTTCTGACATGTTAACCATGTGCATGCAAACAAATAGCTTCTTGTCCTCATTAGCTTTTCCCCCCTTAGTTTTTATAAAGTAATAGTAATAGGAATTGGCAGCTAATCTATCATGTTTATTTTGACTTAAACCAGAGAAAAAACATGGCGACTTGAATATCCGTTAGTTGTTATTAGCAGATCGCAGTTACGTGCTTCAGCTGAGAAGTGGGTCAAGCAAATAGTCTAAAAGGGTAAAAAGTGTTTGAGTTTGAGTGGATGAAGGATCAACTTTACAGGAAGTTCAAGAAGCAGAAAGAAGAGATCAAGTTGACTAATCAGATCGAGAAGTTGATGAATTAATCATAGTTGCAGAACATGGATAACTTAGAAATTGACTTGGCTGGAAGTTAGTCAAAAATTGATTGAACTAATTGAATGGCAAAGAAAATTGAGATCGGTGCATCAGAATTAGCAACCACAAATATTTAACTAAATGGCTTTTATTTCTGGCCAAGTAATTGCAGTTAAAAAAATATAGCTTTTGATGAATCATCACTTTGCTTTATATATAACTCTTTTGATTTTATTTCATTGTTAAAACCTTTTGTTAGAAGGGAAAAAGGATTTTAACATATTAATATCCAAGAGTGGCTTTGCACTTTATAGTATCCTGTTCCAAAGTTTATTCAAATTCCAATATTCCTGCTTGAAACTTATTCAAAAGCAAGTCGATCTTTTTAATATTCTTTTGCGAAGAAAAAAGTCCTTTTGATATTCACGGTTAGACAAAACTTTTTACAATATTTTTCTCATCAATGACCAAAAAGAAAAATCGTCTAATGATAAAACAAATCAAAATTTTCTATTGGTAATAATGTAATTAACTCTCTTTTCTTACATTTCATCACAATTATGGGGTATTGGACATGTATGGTCAAGATGACCCAGAATATCCGAGATCAGCTTCAGTCAAAGTTCCTGATTTATCATAGTCAAGTTTCCTAAAAGCATCCATCACAATAGAAATATCTTGTTGACTGATCCTTCCCATTTCCTTCAACTTGTACACAATGAACTCCGCGGCGCTGAGAATAAAAGCAAATGCGTCAATAAAAGTAAGTTTCCAAATCTGATAGAACCAAATGTTATATAAAATGAAAAAGACAGCTATAGGAACTGCCTGTTATATAAGCTGAGTCACTAATTATCACGTTCATCATTATGGCTATACTATTAGGGTGAAATCACAAAGTATCTAAACCTCTAAAGTAAGGAACTTAATAACTAACAGGTTCCATCTATGGCAAAATACCACAGAATGACTATAAATGTCACAGATTGACACGTGAAGGGGAGCTATTAGCAATTAATAAATTCCTTAACTGGGGCTTCCCCGTGACTTTCCCTGTCTATACCACTAATACCTCAAGCTATATGGTTTTTCCTTGTAAACTACATATAAGACTATATCCCTTGGCACATATCACAGACAAAAATGCAGATATAAACTATACTTAGCACATATGGACACTTTGGCAAGGGAATTATATAACATTGTCTTACCTAACAACATTGTCATGATCAAGATCTGCGGCCTCAAGATCTGAGCGTAAGAGTTTTCTGGAAAGAACAGTTCTGACCAGTGATTTTTGTCTACCTTCAGTGTAGAGTTCAGCTAGATAGTAGAAAAACTGAGCCAAGCAAATGGTGCTACTCAATATCCAAAACACAGCAAAACCACGTCCAGTGCTTGTGGAGAAGCTCTTGTCACCATATCCTAATGTAGTAACAGTAGAACAAACACAATAAAAGGCATCCAAAAGCTCTAGATTCTCAACCAAATGCAAAAAAACAGTTCCCACCATCATGAGCACTAGAAGAACAGCTAATGTTATCAAGAACTTGTACTTCACTTTTTGTGCCTCAACCTCTTCAAGAAGTTCTGAGGGACTCACTTTTTCGCCCATGTGGATGGCTCGAACCAATAGGATTTCTTGCTTCTCAAGAAAGTAATCTGCTGCTTTGCTCATGATCATCCCTACAAGGGCCATGCCTGTGAAGACATAGACACTTGCGAGAAGTTTGGCCAATTTGCTGTTGGGAACAAGGTCTCCATACCCTACTGTGGTCATAGTCACGACACAAAAGTATAGGGCATCAAGGAAGCCATTGGTCTGTATGCCCATTATTTGATTCCTTATGAGGAAGAAGGATAGGGTTCCTAATCCTAGGTAAGCAGTTAAGATCAGCAATAAGACTAGTTTCTTGGATTTGAATTCAGAATCTAAATTTGATAATTGTAGAGTTTGTTGAATCAGATTTTCTTCTTCCTTGTTGATACCATTCTCAGAAGAAACATCCCCGTGCGGGGGACGCCTTCTTCTCTGTAAGTCATTCATCTTCTTATTGGGATTAGAAGTATGATTTTTTGAATATGAAAGCAAGGGTTCTTTTTCTGGTTTTTGTTGAACCTCATGATCACCCATCAATTTACTGAACAAAACTTCATACATGTGTCACAACCGGATTCCTGAGGAACCAACAATACAAATTAGAAGATAGCTATGGAGTGCGTCAATGACAAATTAAACAATGATTGGTGCGCCTCTTCACTAGAATGCCTCTTCCTTAATTATGGATTAGCTGGTAATTAAAGAATTCTCCTTGGCTGTGAAAACCGTTTTCAGACAACATTATGGTTTAAAAGTTTGTCTGAATTGCTTTTTCTTGGTTAGTTAGTTATAGATGATAACTGACATTGTTCTAATTCTATACCTGTCTCCTTCTTTTATGTATGTGTGTGTGTGTATCCTTATTTTCAGCAAAAGTTATGAAACGGTGATATTTGTAAAGGTTACTGCATTAGCTGTCCAGTTTTGCTTATTTGACAGATCGAATCAAAATCTAGTCTTCGTTCATTGAAGAGTTTAGTTCTTTGTATGTTTTCTTCAATGAACAGATAAAAGCTACAAATACATATTGTTAATAAGATCTAAAATCAATGGCACCTATAATTCCCAGTAAATTGAGGTCCAAGAAGACAGAAGTTTTTCAACTTCCCGAATTCCTCATGGAAATGATTAATCTTGAAAATGCAAGCGAGCTTATAAGACCCACATATAAAAATTTCTTAATTCATAGCCACACAACAAATAGTCAGAAGAATAAGAAAATATAGATAAACTTTTGGTACCTGAGAAATTTTATTTTTCTTGAAGAACAACCTATTCATAAAAGAATTTGATTCTATCAGAGGCAGGTACTGTGCATTGATCCAGAAAGAACAACTCTTTTTCTCCTCCGAGACAGTGATACCCAAAATTTTCTCTGCTTCTTCCAAGTGGACATTTTCAGACCTTAATCTTTGTTCCTTTCATTTTTGTTTTCCAGATCCATTCATGTGCACAGGGCGACAAGAATGAGGCACTATTTAGAAGTCAAATTTAATTTTGTATAATGGATAGAAAAGTTGAAATCCAAATTTAGTCTATTTTTAATTGAGGTGCAAGATCGTGAGGACGATGCAATTTTTGCTCACAGATTAAGGAAATAAAAGAAAGAAAAAGAAAAATTCTCTTCCCCAGGAAGACAAAAAAAAAATTAAGGCTATAAATAATTTAGCTATTCTTGTGTACTTATTTACATGCACTACAATATTTGTATTTGTGATTTATATTAATGAATAATCAATATATGCTTATTGATGGATATTTCACTGAATTAAATAGACTTTCATTTCTTTTTCTTTATTTGGTTAGAAAATGTTACAAACTGAGGAGATGAAAATGATCTTCACCCACCATCATGTATATTCTTGCAAGAAATAAAAATAAATATGAATTAAGAATGCTAATAGCAAACATCAGAGTGAAAGGGGGGAAAAGTAATAACTTGATATTAAAGGGAAGAATAATCATTTAGTATATTTTTAATATTATCATTTAATTTTTAAATATTAATTTGGTGCAACTCAACTCCTAAGTTTTAGCTATTGAATCCATTAATTTTGGCATTTTATGACTTGATAATTACAACTCAGTTCCTAAGAAATTAAATATTTTCTAAAAATGCAGAGACAAATTGATAAAATTTGAGAAAGTGAATCATAACTGAATTAAAAATATAAAAATTAAATATTAGTTTTTCCTAGTTTTAAAAAAATGTAGATCCATACCTATATACTTTATAATAATAAGTAATTAGTTATACCTAGCTATAATTCATAGTGGATGCTCATAGTTATGCCTTGCGTTAAACAATAAAAGGACAATCTACATCTAAGTGGAACTGAGACCCTGAATTATCTGAAACTTCATACAAATGAGTAGTTGCTTAATTTTTTAAAGGTGTGTGTGTGTGTGTGTGTGTGTATAGAAAGAACTCGAACACACACACACACAATTTTTTATGTACCCTATCTCATCTTTATGATTCCAATGATTTTAATTTGGTCCTTTATGATTATATATTTTATAATGAAAATCAGGACTGTGATCAGGAATGAACCGAGGGAATAGCTGAGATGCATTAATTAGTCTTATACAGAAGATCAAAATGGAGATTTTCTACGCACAAAGACAATACATGGGGGGATAGATGCATGAATTATTGGCAATTATTAGGCCATTAATTTCCAGGTTGTTGAGGTTCTTTTCAATTCAGGATGTTGTTATATGATCTTTCCAGAATAGGGCCCCGCCCCCCTTGGGAAAAGAACCCTGTCCATGATATTTTCTCCTAAAAATATCAAATTAATGAATAACTCTCATTCTCCCAGTAGCCACAATATTTTAGAAGCCTCCTCATTAACATTCACATTATTTTTTTTGAAATTTATGTAGTGATATTTTTGTCAACAAATTAGTGTCTGTACTCTTTCTGGTACATGACAAAAAGAACACAACATAGAATGTTTATAATAAAGTTGATGAGCCTTTTCATTTGTCGGAAAGAATATATATGATCTAGTCCACGGAATGGAATACTCTAGGACACACATATGATTATACAGAGGCAATCTTAGAATACAGGGTTAATAGGTTTAACGGTTCTTAGGTCAGATTGTAAGAAACTTTATTTTCAACAAAAAACTATTCTAATCAAAGTTTGTCCTTCATGGAAGCAACGAGCTACTTCCTTTCAATTCCTACACCATTAAAAGATAAATTCACATCACCTGGCCTCCTTTTCTATTTTCAAAAAAGTTATATATGCTGTCTTTTGATTGAAATCATATGCTATGCATTGCACGAAATAATAAACAAAATAATATTATATTTATCTTGATATTAATATAAATCTTTCTTTACATATATTATTCATCCTGTACACGCACCAAGCATTCATATGTATGGTGGCAAGAAAAAACGTTAATATATACGCCTTTGATTGATTGAAAAACCAATTTTTTTAAAGCTGAAATATAACTTAATTATTTTGAATACAAAATAATAACAACATAAAAATTAAATAAACATTAGAAAACATACATTAATTCATCTGATAAATGAATATACTACATTCGATCTTTAATATAAGAGTTAAATAATTAATTTAGAGAGATTAAAAAAATTAGTTAAGTTAGTTATTTATAACAAATACATGTTTACTTCCTCAAATTACTTTTATTTAATCATATATATTAGAATTACACTTAGATAGAAATATCTTATAATCAATAAGGATCTTTTTTAGAACATGTTATAAATTTGAGAAATAAAATAGATTCTTATATTTGATATCTTTAGTGATCAAGTGTACGTTGGACCTACATTATTTGAGAAGATTTATGAGCTAGAAAAAAGGATGGTGAGGGTTGCAACGACGATTTGATGCTGCACATAAAAATGGAGGCACGTGGAAAGTTTGTACGATATTAATTAATGTCGTATTCTTTCATTGGTTTACTAAAAGCAACGATTAATCAACTTAATGAATTGCAGCTTATTGCAAGTCGTATTCTTTGGGCAAATTTGAATAATAATTGAGCCTTTTTTTATCTCCCCTTTCACAAAAGATTTGAAAATATCATCTCATGCGTGAGGATGATCGGAGTCCTATCCACATACAAAAGCAAAGGACAATAGCCCCATTAATATATACCCTCCCATCGCTTTAACTAATTTATCGATCAGAATTATAAAAAAAAAGTAATTAATTCAGTAAATATGTCTCAAATTGTTTTTTTTTTCAATTTTACCCATTTAAATGAGATTTGAAGGGAAAAAATTATAATTAATGAGTTACATTTAAACATTAATTGCATAGGTAAAAATGACAAGTAAGCATTAACTACTCTTCAAGTGACTTATATTTTAGATCAAATCATTTTTCTAAAAGTGATTTATATATTGTGAATCGGAGGGAGTATAAATAATTACGACTTGATGACTTTTATAAGTTTTAAATTTAAATTAAAGAATTTTGAAAATCACTATAAAAATTACTATTTGGAAACAATTACTTCTATATTTTTTGAAGGTCTTTTAACCTAAACTTTATAAAGAATGAATGTTGATTTTTTTTAAGCTTAATCCTAATTATACCTAAAAGGGTGATATAATAATAAATTGTCAACACCAACAGCTTTTTTAATTTAGAAGAAGAATGAGAATGATCGTAAAATTCACTAATTACACGTATTAGAATCGACAAGGGAATTAATTAAACACATGAAATATTGTGTGTTTGTTTGTGTGTGTGTGTGTGTGTGTGTTGTTCAGATAAGTAATAATAGTTTTGTAGGCTATTATTTCTCATCAAAACCTGCCGGCCGAGACAAAAACATAGCACTGATTGACATGTGCTCCCTATCTTTCTCTATCTATAGTTGAATATGTGGTATAATAAGGTTACCTTAACTTTTTTGTTTATATTTTATATTATACTCCTCCAGTCCTAAATATAAGACCCTTATACTAGTGTGTATAAGGGTTTTATATTTAGAACCAGAGGAGTATTATATTATATATATTTGTGTAACATATGATTTAGAAATAAAAATAATTAAAAAACAGGAAGTTCAATCCCCCGCCCCCAAAAAAAAAAAAATTGGTTAAGACAATTTGTGAGAGCTATGACACTGTCGTTGGCCAAAAAAGAGAGCTATGATGCTGTCCCCAACACTTCTAATTTCCTTACCTTTGGGGAACTTCTAATATTAGATTCCTTTAAAAAACGTAATACTTTATCTTGTCCATTCTAGCACCTTCCACACACATAAACGATCTAGTTCATTCTGATTCTTGATCTGTCATGAAGATGAAAGTCCCTCGAAATTTAAACAGCTCTCTAGCTCGCTCGAGCTGTTTTAATCTTGTGCTGATCTTCAGGTTTATATCGAACCACCTATCCCTGAAATTAAAGTAGTCAACTTATTTCATCATTCTCAATATCTTAATTGATCTCCCAGTCATGAACTATTCAATAGAGAATTAAGCAAGAAGCTACTTTATTAATGTATTAATTAAAGATCACTAAAGCTAGAAAGACAAGAAGCAACACCACCATTTCAATAAAGCAAAGATATAAAATTACACTAGCAGCCTCGTTAAAACGACGTGACATAATATTATAGCATCATAGACTGTGAAAGGCTTAGTCATTTCAAAATCAGACTGAAGCACTTTAATTTAGTTGGCCCCTTAATTTTGTCTGTCTTTCTTTCATATACTACTAGACTGCAATTAGCGGCCTTTGAGCTTCAATCCTGATCTCTTCCTTCATTTTCCTTATGAACTCTTCGAACTTTCTGTTCAACTCATCTGCATTTGATAATTCCTCAGTTTCTGCCACCGTAGTATCATCTTCAGCTTCACCATCTTGCGTCCCCACCATAACCTCCGTACTATCGTCCGTAGTCCCCACTTCTTCATCCTCCTTAGCAGCAGAGGCTTCCATAATTTCATGATCTCCATCTTTTTGTTCTTCATCATCATCTGCTTCTGATACTTGTTCTTCTTCCTCACAATGGTCTAGCTTCTTTTCTTGTTCTTGATCAGCCATAAGAGAAGGAGCTTCCAGAGAAACTGATATGGCATTTGCAGATTGAAGGGAGCGATCATCGAAGTCAGAATCTGATAGGTAAAGTGAGGTTTTGGCTAGAAAAGCGAGGATTGCATTACAGAGGAGGAACATGTATTTTCTTTCGAAGATGTGGGAAGAGATGGAGAAGAGGAAGGTGGAGAAGAAGGCACTGATGGATTCATCATGAGGGAGTATGGAACAACCAAAGGAGTACCAAAGTAAGAAAGAGAACGCAGAAACTGAGAAAACAAACTGCAAAATTCTTTTCGGAAGAAAGTGCTGCTTCTTCTGAACCTTTTCACCACCACCTTGTTTTTGCAGCCTTTTCCATTCTTCACTTTGATCCATCTGATGAACTTGAAGGGATGTCATCTGTTCTCCTTTATGGAAACACATGGCCGAAAGGTCCTGAAGACTACTAATAGGAAGAAGAAGAAGAAGAAGCCTAAGGCTCTTTTTTCAGAATGAGAGATAAAGATGGAGAGAGAATGAAAGAGAGAATATGAAGAGGGATGGCCTTGCAACAACTGAGTCGCCCTTGTTTGTGTTGTTATGAGTGGAACTCTAAGCTCCTAGGCTCCTTCCTATTTATAGTGAGGCTTAGCCTTACACAATTATTACTTTCAGGAAAAATTGTGGCATTTTTTCATACTTAGTCTTTTCTTTAAAAGTATTTTCGATGTTATATATCCTTTACCCTTATCTACAAAGAAGCCAACATACATTATTTATTGAGTTGGATGCTTTATATTATATACTCGAGTATATGGATTAAATCAAAGCTGCAATAGATCAATATTTTCCGAAGTTACATTTTTCTGTTTATTCTTAATTACTATTTTAAAGTTATCGACCTATTTTTATTATTTGTCCTTATTTCTTTGAGGGCCAATATTCATCATGTCAAAATTTAACTGCCTTTTGCAATAGGCCGTTCATATTCTTATTGTCAACTCATTATCCGCTGTGTAATGTAATCTGATTTATGATATTGTTGTAGCTAGAATGCTGGCGAACAGAAAAAGGGACATATATAGCTAAATATAATAGAAAGTAAATGATGACATTAATAAAGTGATATATATATATATATATATATATAACAAAACATGAGTCACAGGACTAAAGTTAAGATAAATGTACATTGAGATTAGAAAATATTTGATGGCATACATTAATGATAATTATAAAAGCTCTTCTATAAATTAAGATGTATAGGATTCAATTTTATTTATAATTTTACATTAGAATAACAAAATTATTTTGTTGGTCTGAATGAATATATATTCCTCCAATCCTAATTATTAAATCTTATTTATAGTCTATAAGTAAGATTTTATATTGTAAGAATATACATATACAGGGATAGAGATGACAGAATAACAAAATTATGGGAAGATGAAGGTCAATCTTGAGTTAAGTATCATGGTAGAAAGAATCACAGGTAAATCAAACAATGGGTGGCAGAGAGGGAGTGATTGCAAAAGGTTGTATCAGGAATCATCTAGGTGTCACCATTTCTCACCACAAAATCACTCTTTTTTGTGAAGCAGTGACCCCAATCATGACATCATCCTCACCAACATGTGGAGCTCCATAATCTGTGTTCGGTTGTGAGATTCATGGGCCCCACACCCCATTCCCATCAACCCTCTAACCACCCCAATTTTACAGTCTTTGTGCTCATCCACATCCACCCCTCCACTTTATTTAATTTAGGAAACATGATTCATAGATTTTTAAGTAAAAATATTAAATACAAAGAGATGTCCAAAAATTTATATTTTGCATGTCAAATTTTTATATTTTACTGGTTGTTTTATAAGTTAAATTTCTTATAAAAAAATTGATTTCTTGAGATTTATCTGTATTTAATTTTCAAAAACTAGGAACCATGAATAATTTTTTCCGTATAGTTTATTATGTAAATGATTCTATAATATTAACATCACAATGATATAATGTGCATTCGTTATTATCCGGTGCGACAACAATTGAATGACAGTATTCTATTATGATGCGTTGACTAAGCCAAGCCACGTACCCAGACAAACTAAACATATTTAAAGATAATAATTTCTCTAGATGTATCAAATGAAAATGATTCTATAGATACAGAAGACACGTGGGCATTTAGAAAAATTTAGAAAAACAAAAATTAGTCCCTAATGAGTTTTGCAATTACGTGTCCTATTTCTTCTCCAATTATGGCTGTCGTCGCATGAAGCCACACCCTCCCGCATCAAGCAATCAGCTGTATATGAATCATCAAGAAGTGGATAATCACCATCCCAACGTAATATTTCTGGCATTTTTTTTATAATTTGAGTTAGTATTGATTTTAGTTCCTGAAATTTAAAACCAGTAATTTTGATTTCTGAAATTTAACTTTATTTTAGTTCGTTTATAGATTTTTTTGTTCTTGAAACAAAGTTTCAACGACCAAGACTACTAATTTCGAGAGATCAAAATCAAAATCTTCACTCCTCTTGCTTTGTTCTCCATCTACATTATTTATTGAGTTAATATAATTTTTAGTTCTTTAAGTTTGTACTCTTAAAGAGCCAAATGATCTAAATTTTTATTAAATCATGAAGATCAATATTTTAAATGGAAAGAAACTTAAAGGAGCAAAATTTTTACGAAATATAAAATAAGTATATGAGAAAATTTGTCTTAACTAATGTAAACATGATTATAACCATTTAAATAAGTAGATCCAGACGAGTTATAAGTATATTGAGTCTATCTATATTATATAGTATCGTAATTTCATAATTAAGCTTGGAGCATCATCATCAACCTTTATCTCTACGCGGAAAGCAAAGAGATCTATCAGAGCAACATGTCAGAGTATGACAAGGCCACATGTTATAGTCTGTTGCTTAGTATGCGACTGTGAGTGCATGCATGAAAACTCAGTCATCCTTCTCATCCATCTCTTCTTTTACTTCTTCAAGTAATTTTCATTCACAACATTATATGAGAAGATTCTATAAGCATTGTGAGGCCTACAAATTTCTTGGGAAATTTAAGAATACACACACACACACACAGATGCATGCGTTCTTCCTCCAATAATAACGTTTTGCATTTTCTGTATAATATTTCACCATACACACAGAATTACATACTGTAGTTTCATTGATTGATCTCTTGAACTAGCTAGCCACACACTGTGCTTTCTCTTCAGATCGATCAAAATAGCCTCAACACATTTCATTTTCAGATGTGTTAGTGTGAGTGGATCATATCTACACAATATGCCTCCCTTGAAGAACAATAATGCAGAACCACAAATTTCATCTTGGTGAAATGATATGCAAGGTTTAACAATTTGGGGCCATATGCTTTTTACCCGCATGAATTATTTGAATAATGAATACTACTTTTTTTCCTTAATATAAGATTTTATTAATTAATTTACCGAGATTAAAAAGTTACTAAATTATTTTCTTTTTGTTTTCTAAAAGTTTAAGTGAATTGGGTTTTGAGAACTTATCAGGCAAGAGCGTGCCTCTAGGCTCAAAAAACGTTTATATAAGTACTTATGAATCACCCAACAATAAAGTTTTTATATTGGTAGTAGGATTTGAACTCACAACCTTATAGGTTATAAGCTGATTCCTTATCAATTAGACTAACTCTTGTTAATAATTACTAAATTACTCAATTATAATATATGTTGCATGATCTCTCTAATACGTATGTATATCATTAGATTATATATCAAATTATCAATTTATAAGTAAGTCAAATTAGTTTGGAGAAAAATGATAAATATAAATACGTACTTTAAAATAATTTAGTAAATTCTTTAATCTTTTCAAATTAGTCAATTGGATCTTATATCAAGGACTGAAAATAATATATAATCTAACGATACACATAAACATTTTAGAGAGATCATATAATATATACTATAATTAAATAATTTAATTTCTTTAATCTTCTCAAATTGGTCAACTGAGTTTTATATCAAGAACTATTGGGTAGTATAGTTTAACATTATATTTGATATATTTGAAATTAAATATAGTAAATAGAAGTTGTAAGTATAAGATCATACTAGCTAATTCAGTTTTGTTTTTCGAAAGTAAGTCAATAAATAAGTCTTTAAATACTTTCAAAGATTATATATACACGCATACACACTATTGTACTGTGCGTATATATGTCTGTGTGGTTCGACCAACTCGATCAATGAGAGGACTGAATGATACGGTTGCTTTTCCATATTAGAAGGAAAAGATGAGGTTGGATTTCCAGAATGAGAGTAAAGAATCTCAGCTGGTCAAGGCCAAAAAAAACAATTTGACTATCAAACATTTTTCTTCCATATTTACACAAATTAAATTTAGAAAGAGATGTAAAAATGGAGGAAATAATTTGAATGTTTCGCATTCATTAAGTCATCTTTTTAAAAAGAAATTTACAAAAAAATATGTATATATTCTTTCTGATTCTAAATATATGAATCAAATAACTAATTTATAAATATTATATATACTAATAAATCGTTAATTTTGCCATAAAGTAAACTAAGGCTACTTGCACTTTGCTTCATAATTCTTGCACTTATAGATTCTTCGCAGCCGCTGCAAATCTCTCGTCCTTTTCTTTACTCAAGGAACCAGCAATTATGTTCTTACTCTTTCGGTCCTAAATATAATATCTATTTTATAATATAATTTATACTATAAAATGGGTTTTATATTGGATTGGAGGAGTATTTTATATGTCTTGTTATAGTCCGATTTACAAATTTCTCATTAAAAGAAGCTTTATAAATTCTGTATTAGTAGTATAATTATTAGGCATAATTATATAATATTTCCCTTTTCCAAAAGGACTCCACACCATGACACTTCACTCAGCCTTCTGTTAATAAAAACCCTTCATGAGTAGCCTTCTCTGTGAACATCAAACACTAATGAAAACATATTATTATGAACACAAGTTCAAAGGGAGAACCAATCCCCAAAAAACCAGTTTATTAGGAGGAAGAGTTCTTTAAACTTATAACAGTCACTTGTGAGGCTGGCTAATGTGATACTCATAACAGTCACTTGTTTCTAAAGCTGAAATAGGTTCATGCTATCTTCATTTAATTTGAGACAAAGGCAGAAGCAGATGGATCTTTTAACTCTCAAGGCAATAGTGCAGTTATCATTTGAGACTGCAGAAAAGATTGGGTTATGGGCTTTAGCCGAATGGACCTTTAACTTTGTCGCCTTTAAAATAAAAGGATGACATTTGACCCAAAACAAAAACATTACATTACTCCAATTCTAAATATAAAATTTAATTTATAATACATTATAAACTAGATTTTGTATTTAAAATAAGACGTAGTGCTGTATAATAGGTTTTTGAAAATTTTTATCAATAACTTT